GACTGATATGTTAGGGCTTAAATCTGGATTTCTAAAGACCACCATGAACTTCGTCTTGTTTATGTTCATTGATAAACCGGCTTTCGCGCTACATTCATTAACCTTATTAACAATTGCTTGCTAATCGATCTCCGATGCTACAATGAGAATAGCGTCGTCTGCATAACGCAAGTTGTTAACGACTTTGCCGTTGATCTTTATTCCCACTTAAAGTTTTCAAGAGCCTTCGACATCACAGCCTCCGAATAAACAATAAAAGGCAGCGGAGACAGGATGCTGCCCTGCCGGATCCCACGACAGATCTCAACTATTGTTAGAGTAATGCGTTAATTGTTATAGGTAATAAAATATTAACGGTTCCACAATACTTAAAATAATATTTTTTTATCGAGTTCTTAGGTTTTCGCGATTGTTACACATAGGAAATGAAACTATTTTTCCGGATTTAAATCGCGTATATTTGTTTTTTCAAACAAACCGACGTTTCGGGCCCTTTACAGGTCCCATGGTAATATTTTTTTCTTAGACTTTAAAGTTGTTGTTTACTTTAGACATTATAATATAACAATAAATAATACTAAGTTTTGACAGAGTTAAAAGAAATTAATATTCCTACACTAGCAGTACGTTTACGAAAATGTGATTTATCGAGTTCTTAGGTTTTCGCGTTAGTTACACACAGGAAATGAAATTATTAAATTATTTGTTTTTTCAAATAAACCGACGTCTCGGGCCCTTTACAGGTCCCATCGTCATATTTGTTTGAAAAAAGAAATATACGCAGTTTAAATCCGGAAAAATAGTTTCATTTCTTATATTCTCTCTCTTCATTCGCTCCGGTTATTTTTACTCAGTTATTGCTCATAATTTTTACAATGAATGAGTCGGCTTGTTGATTTTCAGACAAAAAGTCAAAGAAAGTCTGGTAGCCTGTACTTCATCCACTATTATTGGGGGTGGTAGTAGGACTTTTTTAGGCTTCTGCTTTTCTGCTGCAACAGTGACATTCTCTTTAGTAGCGCTTTTTTTTGGTGACGTGTTCAATTTTCTTTTCTTTCTATTTCTTTGCCGTATCCACCTTATTCTACAACTTGGACTTCAGAACTCTAGTAAGTTTCCATAACACTGGTTCCATAATTAGTTTCATGGTTTCGCTGTACCAAGACATTTCCCAATTCATCTCGAAGATAATTAATTTGCTTTTGCATGTCCTTATCTAAGCGTTGTAGTCGGATATTTTCACCTTTCTCTTCAATGTAGCGTTGATACAACATATGTCCCGTGTCCGTCTTCAGCTTGATAGTTGGTGAGGGGCTATTATTCGTCATGATTACGAGAGTAGCTTCGCCCTAACAAATGTGATTTATATTAAGAAGAATAGTAATTTTTTTTCTTGACATAAATCACACTTCTTTCTATAAAATAGTGACATACATATCATTAATATGAGGAATAAAAATTAACAAGACATTTTTGATTGTCACAAATTCATTTAAGGAGCAATGACTTAATTATAAAATTCCGGTTGATAAAAAGTCTAAATTGTTCCAATATATGTCAAAGTTAAAGTAAAAGTAGACTCTTCTCACTGGCTTCCCACGACAGAGAAGCTGTTTATAGTTTTTATAAACTTTGATTTCCATACTGGTCAAGATTGGTAGCGCTAATTTCGCTATTAATAGAAGTTATGCCTACGTATTGGGAACGATGAGTATTTCTTTAAACTTATGTGGCTAATATCTAATTTTTGTGATTAACTTTTTAAATTTAGGTGCCTAAAGTGAATGTACACGGAAAGTTGACTTCTCAATAGTCGGTGCTAAACATTTCCTTCACGCTCCCTATCTGCATTTATTTTTCTTGAAATTTTGAATTGTAACAATGACTTTTGAGCATTGATTACATTATGTAATTAGGTAATTACTATTCTTTAGCCCTTTGATACTTCAAACTCAACTAATTCATTTTGGAATGATGGCACAAAACAACTTTTCTCTGTAGTGAGAGCTGTTGTGCTCATAGTGTTTTATACATATAGGTACCTATTGCAGGAAGTGAGAGGAAGCGAGGCTTTCGTAACTTTATGCAACTAACCTGAGAAAATGGTTACTTACTTCATTAGCAGGACGTGCTCATGATGTAAATGCTGCATCGTGTTTTTAGCCTCGTCATCGCTGATTCCAATTCCTGGAGTACCTAACATAAGCCTCGCTCGTTCTCTCAACAGGTCCAATTTTCCTCCAAAGAAACTCATAATAACAATTACACTAGTATCATAAGCTGCCACGAGAGAGCAGCCATATGCACACATAGAAGTGTGCCAAATAACTGTTACCCAGGAACCGGGAGAACGATTTTTGTCAATTGGCATCCACGAACTATAGATGTGGGGAAAAGGTTCAGAGCCATTGTGGAAACCTTCTCGGAAGTCTCGTGACGATAAAAATTTCAGTGGAGGTGTAGAAATTGCGGTGATGAAAGTTGCGATTACCAAAACCCAGAAGAAGTAAGTAACTCGTCGGCAATATTTCGTGTATCTGTCAATAATCTCGGCTCTAATTTTGTCTTGATATACTCTTTCGTATTCATCTGCATCAGTAACGTACTCTAGAACTTGTGTCCATCTATTCTGATCAAACAGGAAGGCATTTGCTTTTATCACGCAGATAATGCTCAAAAACGATATTGTTATATTTTCAATGACTTGACTTATGTCAGATCTTATTATATAAATCTCGATGTATTCCGTAACTACGAAAAATGTAACCAATTCGTGCATAAAAATGTAAAGTATTTTAAAAAATATATTTTTTGGGAGTATTAATCCTATACATGTCAAGATCCAGACGTTGGGTCCAAGAAGACGTCGTTTAGGATCTTCGAAGCGTTCCAGAAATTCTGTTACCATATTGATAGGTTCTCTCACCGACAACACTGAATTGGAAATAAAGTAGCATTTTTTTGGCCTCCTTTATATACCCACCTTAAACCCCGCTTATAAAATTCACAGTTCCAATCAAACGCCGCATGGTTCATATTTATATTTAGATTTGTTATTGTAACCTCTCATACAATATTAAAGCATATTGTTTATTCTCTAAAACTATTTTTTTATTATTGAAGCATAGGTAATTAGTAGTCCAGGTTTTTCCAACAAGTTATTTTTTTTTTGTTAAGCGTTCACGCAAGGTCAAGCTTAGTTTTCTGAGATACAGATCCTAAATTGTAATACAGTTAATAATATGAATTTTTTTTAACATTATCTAACAACGATTATATACCATATCCAACGCGATGTCCACGTTGATTTACGTTGATGTATTTAGAAGTTTCTGTCTTAACTCCTCGATTTGGCGGTTGCACTTATCAAATTGACTACCTACCGTTGTGTGAGCGCTTTTTACTTGGCACTTATGTAACAGGTACTTTTTGCATATTTATGGATTCCATAAGTCATTGAAGTTTCTTCATAAAAATTTATTAAATTTGCTCAACGATTTGTTCGTAATTTAGTGGCTTAAGTTTAGGTTTCAAACATGTATGCATAGTATTCATGCTGCTATTTTCCGCTACAAAATTTTTGCTTATTATTATGTAAGGAATACTAAATAATAATAATATAAAAATTCTGTAATACATTAAAAGTGTCGAAAAATGAAGTATTTTGCGGCACTAGAATGACAATTAAAGCTAAATACCTAGTTAGATGTTTTATTGTAACCGTGAAATGTGGGCGGGGCTGGTCATAGCAATGGTTCTAAAACAATCATGAAGCAGTGTTAAAAAGGTATAATTACAGTTTTATGAATTATGTATTAGTATATCGTCACGTTACTTGTGGTTAAATTTTAAATTTCAAGCATTTTTTATTGATTCAAAGAAGTATGTACCTCATATTTAATTCATTAAAATAAAGTAAATATGGAAACGAAACTATTTGTTGGATATAAAATCGCATATTATATTTATTTGTTCCCTGAAATCAACGTTTCGGGCTCTGCGTGTGAATAAACACGTGGATATCACTTGGTCTCATTTCAATGTTTTTTTAACTCCCCTTGCAAAAACGCTAAAAACACCTTTTATGCCCCATGGTTACGGCCGACTTATGTCAGGACTCGATAAAATAACTATGGATAACATTTGGGATGAATGTGATTCCAGGTAATTCACATGCATGCACGCACACTGTAACACGCGGAATAATGCATTACTTTTGTTTCAAACCTATTACTAATTTTTGTAACTTAATTTTATGTAAACACAATAGTATTAAAATGTAAATTGAAGTGGAATACCATTAAGATTTCCCATAAAGAAAATTATCGCTTTAATGCTTTTTTAAAATGTTATTATTAACCTATTATGTGCCACTGCTGGGCAAAGATCTCCCCCAAAATCCTCCACTGCTTTGTCTTTGGCGATCTTCTACCACTCCCGCTCAAATCTAACAAGATCATCTCGCCAACGCCTTCTCGGCCGTCCCCACCGTCTCTTTCCATCCGTCCTCGTGCATCCAAGGAGTTCGCTTCAATGCAAAAAAAATATATAAATCTCAGCAAATCTTGCAAACTTTCATTAAAAAAGATGAAGTAAATATTTAGAAGTAAAATAAAATTACATTACACCTCCTCTATAAAGTTGGTAAAACCGTATATTTTCATCTCTAGAGCAAATTTTTTTTGAGAAATATCGATGTTTGGTTTCTGAACGGATATTAAGCTTCCGAGTTTACAATGCACTCTTTTAGATTGCGGTCTCTTTTTATCGTGGCTTTCGATTGTATGCTGTTGGCTTCATCTGAACTGTACAAAAGTACAGCGTTCAATTTTAGAAGCATTTATTTCATTGACTTTGGAAGTGACAGATCAAATACTTCTTTCACATTTTTGATTTACAGAAACATAATCTACATTCTGCTAAGCGGAAAACTCGACACTGGCGAAATCTTAAAAAGAAGGAACCGCCATTAAGCAAAACGAAGAAGAAGAAGATTTTGACATTTTTAGATTTTTTTTGTGATTTACTAAATAATGTAATGTTTGTAAGTAAATCAAGTAGATCATGGTGACATGTGCTGTAGTTAATTGTAAGAACACTTCTGCGAAAACATCTAAAAATAAAGATGGAATTACATTTCATAGGTAAGTTGTATTGTTTTCCTGCATAGGCAAACTATTGCCCTCACTTGACAATAAATTTTATTGTGGTTTTAAGCCTAGACTTGTGGATAGTCGTTTCGGATAGTAAGTAGTTAAAAGCAAGATAACTGTCCAGATTTCCACGTGACAAGGAGCGTCGCCGACTGTGGGAGCAAGCAGTCGACCGTAGAGATTGGACATCCACAGCTTCTAGCACGGTTTGTTCGGAACATTTTGAGGCGAGAGATTTCTACTTGACGGAGAGTGGGTTGCGACGGCTGGCTATTGATTCAGTACCTAGCATTAATATATCGGTGAGTTATATAACTTAATTAATATTTAAAATCGATTTAAAAGTCTAATTACAGCTCAAGTAACAAAACAAAAGTTTAAAATATGTTATCTATTAATTATTTCAACTTAGGTAACAAACAGCTAGAGATAAAGAAAAACATGAATTCTGTCTGGCCGAGCTGATGGTCTTTGTGGCTTAATAATTATTAAGCACTCTGGATGTTATGTGGTTTTACATTATGTTTTCTTAGTTTGATTCTCAGTTGAACTAATTTAGACAGTGAATTTTTTAAAATGGTTTTGATTTAAGGGTTCAGGATAGTGTTGTTATATTTTATTGGCATGCTCTGGTACTCAAATATGAGCCCAGCTAATTGTTTTGTATGTCCAGCATATGAAATTTAATTTAGATGACGTTACATTTCTTTAAACATAAAATGAAAAAGAAAATGCAGCATATGTCACTGACTGCACAGCGTGCTCTTTGCAAAAGTTTAAAGTTCTGAGTGGCTACTGCAACTGCTATGGACAGGTGTGTCGTTTACCACCAGGAGCTAGACTTGTTCCACCCGTCACTTGGTATCATAAACAAATACATTTCTTTGAATTCAAAATAACAAAAACTAAAACCGCGTAGCGGAGCGCCAAGGGCAAAGCTAGTACTAACTTGGCTTCTTTGGTATAAGGAAAATGTAAGGTAAAGCTGTTAAGCGACGTTGCGCTTTGTAGCGGAAACTTTGGAGAAGGTAATGTATAATTTGAAAGGATGTGCCGCACGACACTGCGCTGTGACACGATACGCCGTAGTATGCCGCGTGGCTTTTGTTAATTTGTATTTAAAGTAATGCATACTTTATTTTATTAGGAATATTATGTTCTATATTATAATCGACCAAACAACTCGAGGCGCAGCACACATGGCGCCGTGGCGCCGCAGGCTGCATCTTTTTTATCATTTTCTGTGTAACGAAGTGTAATGTTATTATATAGGAGATAAAGTTCCCATTTCATTGCTGCTATTAAATCGCAGTGTCGCGTCGTCTGGTTGCAGCAATATAAGGCGATCCTAAACGCTTACTTTCTTCTCTAACGAGCGTCATGGTGTTTTTACAGGTATATAACTTTTAGAATTTATATGTAGATCATTTTCCATTTCAGCCTTGCCAACAACCAGAACCTACAATATCACAAATAGAGCCAATAGACTTGAAACCTACTGACACTGAAGAAGTCATTCAGTTAAAATACAGAGTAAAAAGACTAGAAGCCATAGCAGAGAACCGAAAACGGCGTCTAAACCTTATGTGGCAATCGAGACGGCGCCTGAAAAAAAAGATGGACAGAATGAAATGCATGATTAAGCATTTGATTAAGAACAGGAAAGATAATGGATTTGATACCAGGGATGAGACCAATAGATGAGTGTGTAGTTAATAAATTTAATGAGGTGTTATCTAACAAATACTGGTATGTTTGACAGGCTGCCAATTTAGATGTAACCCTAGCCATTGTGTATAATATTAGGGAAAAGGTACCTTTAATCTGCAAAAACATGGATGTTAGATGTTTACAAACTGGGCCCTAAGTATGTTTCTGAGAGAGAAGTTTAAGGAAATTACATTTGTGTCACAATAGTTTTATGAAAATGCAATTTATGTTAGACACAATAAATAAATAATTTTGTTGATGAAAAAAGTGAGACATATTTGATTCTAGTTAATACAATTGTTTTATTTCTATGCCTCTGTCGGACCAGTCTGTTAAGCATCTGCCTGCGCTTTGGTTTACACCTGCTATAAAGAAAACCATGCAGCGTAGCGTTAAGGTGAAATAGAAATCCAGTCTTATCGAGAGTCCATGGTTAGCCGGTTGGATTTGACGCTCAAGACAACTCCGATTGGGGCGATGCCAATCTTGTCAAATTTAACGCTACCAAAACGCAGGCGTGTCTATTCACCACAAAACGGAGTCCCTTTGAGCTGACTCCGACTTTTCGTGATGCGTCCATACCGATGGCTGACTGTTCCAGTTACTTGGAATGGACTTGTCGTCCAATTTGAACTTCGGCAGATACCTACATTGAATCCATGGCCAAAAATGCAGCAAGGAAACTTGGCGACCTTCCCAGGCTGAGGCGCTACTTTACACCGGGTCAGTTGCTTCAGCTTTACCAAGCGCAAATCCGGTCGTGCATGGTGTAGTGTGTATATATATACATATATATAGGTATGATGATCCGACATAATAAATCAGTCTTGTATCGTCATTGAGTTGTTTCACTCGTAAACATCCTTACCTTATATGGCGTCCCTGCCATGTCTAAGTACCGCTCGCGTCGCGACTCGTTTTACGATACAAATATCGTATAGTATCGGAGATAAGTAAAAACTAACTTACAGACTGAAGTGAAGAAAAATTGAAGTGCCCATCAAAAAAAAAAATGTGTGATTCTCCAGCACCAAAGCCTGATCAAAAGATAACATCACAAATTGTTTACCAGAACTCAATAACCAACACAAATGTGGAAACCCACATAGGGATAATTTCCTGGCTACTGCCACCTTTGTGATGGCTCTGCTACTAGTGCCAAGAGGCTTAAAGGTGACCCAGAATTAGTGGAGGCGAAGCTACAGAGCCTTGAACACCGCCGTAAAGTTGCCTGCTTATTTTATCTGCGTATTTTACAGGATATATCACGGAGAGTGTGTGATGGAATTACACGATTTAATTCGGCATTCCCCTTTCCATCATCGGGGGACTAGACGTAAGCTTGAGTTTCACTCCTATGTTGTGGATATTCGAAAGATTCGCACGAAGCGTTACGCTTCCACGCGAACGGCTATGGAGCGGAATTCCGTGCCTGCAGACTTGTTCCCTGAACGTCATAACTTGGACCTTTTCAAGGCGAGAGTGAATAGGAATTATTTAGGTGTGCATGAATAGGCATTATTGGTAATTGGTATTACTTATTATTGTATGCAATAATTTACTGCCTCCGTGGCCGAACGATTACCATGCCGGACTGCCACGCAGAGGTCCCAGGTTCGATTCCCGGGCCGGGAGAAATGTTTGTATGGCTTACATTTATTTCTCTCGTGAGTTTGGGTGTAATTTGTGGTTGTCTATGTGTGTGTCCATGGTACCCGCGACACAGGGTTTCCCTAGTGCGGGGCTATGTTGAGTGTGTGCGTTATTTAAAAACAATTATTTTTATTTTTGTAATGATGACGCGTCAATTTCGCCTCGATGCGCGAGAAGGCGCGCGCGGTCACTGGAATGTCTCGAGCATTCGCGAGGCTGTAGTTCTTCGTCAACGTTGACGTTGACTTTGATCTTATATTGTAACAGTTCACTAAGATTTCTGAACACTGGATCACAGGGTGAAGGAAGGTCATTTATATCTAAAAATACTTTTCAAACTTAGAAATCACACTGTTTGGTTCTTCTAACGGTAATGCTGATGGTCTACCTTTTTTCATCGTTAATGCGTTTATATGACTTGTTTATTACTATTTTTAATTATGAATGACGTTATGAAAGCAGACTTTGCACAATTGTTTTCACCATTGTGAATATTTTGGGTGGTTTCAAATATTTACGATCAAATGACAACTAAACGATTATTAAATAACTGATTCTGCATTCCTTAATACCTACAAATGGAATTTACATTTATAATAGTGAATTCAACTAGTAATTAATATAATAATCATTATAAAATATAGCTTGCAAAGATAATCCAGAAACCATTGTTGGCATAGTCTAAGCGTCTACAAAACTATTATTAGCAATTACACGAAGTCTTAAGATAAACTGTCTTTTTTAGATGATAATTTTTGCAAAGGCGTTTTTATTATTTTTTCAAATGACTTTATAGAAGCTTCCTAAAATAGTGAAAAAAAGTATGTTTAGGTAGAAATTAGGTAGTAAAGATATAAAAAAAGTAAATTATATACTGAGTTATATTTCTTGGGCGTGGTTGCCAAGTGGTTATCTTCGAGGAGTAGCGGGGTCTTCTTTATTTGAGTAAAGTACGAAGTGCAATGAGTTCGAGGAATATTACGTTTATTGGTTACTTCACAATTATGATCTGCTTTTACAATTATACGTATAGGTGATTTTACAACAAAGCCGTAACGCAAGCGATTTGGAGCTTGTGTTCGGAGTTTGGTACGGATACGTAGACTTGTGAGATTTGATGCGAACTGTGGTTAAATGTGAACTGTCGTTTGTCGCGGCGTGTTGCCTTTTTATATCGGCAAGCGCGAAGGGTGCGTAGCGTCTCTGGTTCGTGTCACTTCCTGTCGCCAAAGCTTTTAAGATAATTGTGTCTTTCGCATAGCGATGTGCGTTTATCTGTTGCGTCTGGCAAATGTCTGTTATTTCCTTTGATAGGCCTGGTTTGTATTGTAAAGAATGGTATCTTCGTCTGGCGTCGTAGTGTACTTAAGTTTTTTCCTGTGTCGTTATCTATGGAATCTGGCCATGTTGGTGGTCGTTCCTTAACTACTGATAAAACCATGGAAGTTGTAAAGTGGTCCAACCAACTTGACGTCAGAATGGCTGGCCACTTTATTTCTTTAATATTTCCGTTAGTGCAAAGGTACAAATATGTCAATAAAGGTACTAAATAGTAGAAAATAGGTAGTAAATAATGAGCACAGTTTGATTTGTATATCTCGTTTGGTCCAGCCATCCTGACGGACACTATTCTCGAGCATTCTCGAGAATTCCGCGGAAGACGCGTATACAATATCGTTAGAAAAATTCGCTTCCATTCCGTTCCGCCGCTAGGGTAGCCTGGTCTAAGATGACTTATCCGATAAGAGTACGCAATGTAGATTGCCGAGAAATTATTTACATTAAGCAACTAAGTTCAGTGTCATTTTGCAGTGCTAATAGGAAGTAGAGATTGTTGCGCGGAAAAATTATCAAAAGTTGTTGAAAACCAAGAAACTACCTAAGTCAGAATATTTTGATGTATTTGCATAAAACTTTTTGGTATTTTCAAATTGTTGCTGAGACTAAACTAAGCAAATTTTTTTTAAACTGACTTTGTATAAAATCGCCCAGAAACTCGTCTAGAGGTCAAACCGTAAACGATTCTGGTCACTTGCAACATAGGGGGCTAGTAGCAGTTTTATTCTGAAATGGCTGAAGTGTGCAACAGTACGCCACTCTATGCGTTGCAAGAGTGTACTTCTGAATAAAATTTCTATCACTATGCCTCTTTCTAAATCAACTGAATCCTCGCAAAAGGAGGAGACTAGTATTTTTAAAGGTTTAACAGACCCGAGGCATGTGCTCCGAATATGTATGAAATAACGGCTACAAGTGCGCCTGAAGCACCACCACCGCTCTAACTGAGGTTTGTCCGTGCCACAAGTAGACTCTTCTAAGCTCTCCATGAGCCAAGATCCGTGCATACCGAGACAAAAAATCACATTCCAAGAAAGGTATGGAGGTGATTCGTACAACCTATAAACGGAGTCCTATCAAAAAAGGTGTTGCGTACTCTTGCCGACGCACATGCGTATTCTTACGCATATAGTACAGTGTAAGAGTACGCAAATCCCATTTTGCTTTTTTATCAATTACAACCACGCTATTAAATATAACTTCTTTATGTAAGAGTCAGATAAGTAGAGTTTAGAGTCAGAAAACTCTAAAAAAAACAGTTGCTGTTTTTTTAACACTTTTTTTTTCATTCTACACGGGTGCATCGTCGTAAACCAGGCTACCTACCTACCTACCTATGAATTAAGCCCAAGGAACATTTAATTATATTTGAAGAATAAAATTGGGACAAGTTGGTCAAATTTAATAAAATGTTTTTCACACAAAATTTGATAACACTGATTAATTGTTTTTTAATGCTTATAGACTTAGGTAATTAATACTACTGAAGAATGTCAATTGTTTCTTATTTTCTCAACAGTGTATAGTAGCTGTACGCTCCTTTCAAAATCTGAAAAAAAATAAAAAATAAAAAATTAAAAGCAATACTCTGCTTCTAAAGTGACTTTACCAATATACTTGAGTGCCTAAAATCACAGTATACTGGCCAGATAATGCAATACTATACTAGGTATAGTATTGCATAAAAAGTGTGTAAAGTAGTGAATAAAAAGACCTACGTCGCACTACCTACATCAAAATAGTAACACCTGAACTAAGTAGGTATTATTACAGACAGTATTTTTAGATTAAGTTCTTTACTGTGATAAACGTGGACAGGGTGAGAGAAGTAAACGGCCCAGCGGTGAAAACATGTTTGATCCGAAATTGTCCAGCCAATATTAGTACACGTTTCCTTTGTTTCGCGTTAGCGGCCCACCATTCACTTTCATAGGGCCCGAGCATTAACTGTTCGCTCTGTGAACATAAAAAAACTTGCAATTAACTAGTAAATACGAAATTAATGTCAATGAAAGCGATCGTCTCTAAGACAATTTTTACGTACTTTGACTAGAACATCGTTACTTTGCCAGCAATATATAAAAAGTTGTGCAATTCCGAATAGTAAATACACAGCCAAGAACAGCTTTTGGGTTGAGCTTGTTGCCGACTGGAAAAAAACATAATCATTATCTTCCTAGCGCTTTACTAAAACTAAAAAACAAAAATTACTATGCTATTTTGCACAAAGAAGGCGTTCACTCCCTAAGAATGAACTGCCTATGCTTACGCACCTACTTAAACCGACTGACATCCTATTTACCCATCATCGATGCAAACACTTAGAGACATAAATTCGAATGTATTTCCAAATTATATTATGAAAGTCACGATCAAAACTTACAGTAAGTTGAAACGCGACAGCACAAAGATTCAGTGAACACAAGGTCACGTACAAAAACATTACCGGCGACAGTAGAGAATTGAATAATCTTGACTGCCTGGGATGAAAACATAAATTAGGTGAGTAATTCGAGTAAACTATGTGTTGTAGTTAGTCTAATTATTGTTTTTCTTGATGCGGCTGTGACCATAGTGCGTGTGTATAGCGGTGAAGTGGGATGGGAAATTGTCGATAAACTTAGTACCTACAACTTTTTTCACGCTTCGTTAAAAAAATATTGATATTGTGTAAAGTTTTAGATAATTCTATATTATACAAACTGTAAAATGGGAATAAATAATTAACAATATACATTAAAAAGTTACAAAACATGTAAAAACGTACACAACACTAGCAATTACTATAAGAGCATACTGAAATGAATTTTATAATTCTTTAAATAGAAAACCACCGCGAGACTCAGACATATTAACTAAAAATAACGGATACCTCACGTATTTAAGTGGAATTTTTGCTCGACATGTTTCGAACAAATTCGTGGTCCTTAATCATGAGATTCCGCGGCGGTGACTGGACGGAAACTGCGCGCCAAAGCCCTGGCAGCCCGATCACTCAGTACGGTAGCGGGCGCAGGCGGTGTCGGAATCTACCCTCGTTTGCTTCATTTTTATTAAAGTCATATGCAGGATTGCACACTACACTAACAACGTCACTTTCTAAAGTCTCGTCTACACTAACCACTGAGGTAGAACCTAACACTGTATTCGAGCCGGGGGTACCGACCATCCACTATCACGATTGAAATTCGAATGATGATCAATCTCGATAGCTTCGCGTACATTCCGCGGAATGAAATGCTTTTCTCTCGCCAGTACGGACACCTTATCAAAACGAATATAGAGCAGTGAATCCGAATCCAATGAGTGTGGTCGTTTGTTTACTACAGTTTACCGTAAGCCTAAACTCATTCACAAAACCCATTTTACCCTCGACTTAAGTATCCATTAAGTGGATATAGTCGTCTCGGGTAAAATGACGCGTTTTGTGCACTTGTTGTACAATCTACTATATGCAATCGTGCATAATGAGGGTTCTTAAAGTCGAGTAGGTATATACGAATATCTCCCCCATAGAGGCGAGGGTCACATTGTTTGGGGAGACGGTTCCAATCAAGGAAATTTTGTTAAAAAAATATAATAACTCTTCTTTAGTCATTTTGTACTCAATTGTGATGAAATAACTTTTCTGTATTGAAAGCTGTTGTGTTTATTGAACGATGATTGAAGCAAGTGAAACAAGGCTATACTCTTGTGAGTTTAAATACCTAGCTAATTAAAAAAAACTTACTTCAGTAGAAGGATATGATCATGGTGTAAATATTGCATCGATGCATCGGCCTCATCATCACTGATTCCATTTCCTGGACTACCGAGCATGAGCTTAGCTCGTTCCCTCAACAGGTCCAATTTTCCTCCAAAGAAACTCATAATGACGATTACACTTGTATCATACGCTGCCATAAGTGTGCAGCCATATGCACACATAAAAGTGTGCCACATAACTGTTATCCAGGAACCAGGAGAACGATTTTTGTTAAAGGGCATCCACGAACTATAAATGTGGGGAAATGGTTCAGAGCCATTGTGGAAACCTTCTCGGAAGTTTCGTGACGATAAAAATGTCAGAAGAGGCGTAGAAATTACTGTTACGAAAGTTACGAATAGTAAAACCCAGAAGAAGTAAGTAACACGTCGGCAATATTTCGTGTACCTGTCAATAATTTCGCCTCTAATTTTGTCTTTGTGTACTCTTTCGTATTCGTCAGCTTCAGTAACGTACTCCAGAACCTTTTTCCATCTATTCTGCCCAAACAGGAAAGCGTTTGATTTTATCACACCGATAATGCTCAATAACGACACCTTAACATTTTCAATAACTTGATCTAAGTCAGATCTTACTACATAAATCTCCATGTATTGGCTAATCACGAAAAATGTTACTAATTCGTGTACAAAAATATAAGCCACTTTAAAAAATATATTTTCTGGAAGTATTAATCCCATCCACGTCATAACCCACATGTTAGGACCAAGAAGATATCGTTCGGGATCTTCGAGACGTTCCAGAAATTCTGTTATCATTGCGCTACGTTGTCTTACGACCAGCAGTAAAATGAGAATGGATTAGGATTTTTTTGTCCTCATTTATATACCCCTTCACAACAATTGCTCATAAAAATTCACACCTCCAGTTAAATGTCCCATAGCTTGTATAATTACGTATCTAGGTATATGTTAAAAAACCTCATACAATATTAAAACAGATAGTTCGTTCTTGAGTATATAATGTTATTTTAATGGTAGAATAGAAATTTATTGGTTTGTTTGGGTTTTTACACAAGTTATTTATACTAATGTACACAGTTAAACAACGTATAACTAAAGGTCGAGTTTAACAGTTTTCTGACATCCTACAATAATAAGATAAGGTAATTATAATATGGTAATTGTACCTTTACTAACAAGTACTGTAGGGTTAGCACGACAGGACGCGACCTGCGCTAGAGCGAAATAAAGCGCGATATATTGCTATTCTCTATGCAACAATGACAGTTTGTCACGCTTTATGTCGCTCTCACGGAAGTCGCGCCCTATCGGACTAGCTCTTCTGAAATGTCCTATCAGCGATAGTCAGTATTCAGTAGGTAGTTAATAACTTAATAACGCAAACACTCAACATAGCCCCGCACTAGGGAAACCCTGTGTCGCGGGTGCCATGGACACACACATAGACAATCACAAATTACACCCAAACTCACGAGAGAAATAAATGTAAGCCATACAAGTATTTCTCCCGGCCCGGGAATCGAACCTGGGACCTCTGCGTGGCAGTCCGGCATGGTAACCGTTCGGCCACGGAGGCAGTTACGGTGTACGTTGACGGCGACTCGTCGGTGGCGGGAGCGGTTTTATTGTAGTAGACATCTAATAATGTTTCTTTTTAATTTTCTCACGGTTTATTCGTAATTTAGAGACTCAAGTTGAGGTTTCAAATGTGTATTTTTTATTTCTTTGTGACTATATTTTTAAAGTTTACTTTGTTTATTATTTCATAAAGAATAAAAAGTTGCGTAAAACATTAAAAAATTTAAACATTTTGCGACAAAACGACAATTTAATTAAAATACGATAGATAGTTACAATAAAACTTGTATTTTAAATGTTTCCATTACAGCTGTGAAATGTGGGCGGGAGCGGTGACAGGAAAGGTCCCCTGTTCAAAGAATTAAAAAGTAAAGTTGTCAGCAGATAGCGTTAACAACGTGTTATTATAGTTTTATAATTTATGGTACTGTATCATCGTAACGTTTCCAAAATGTACAGTCAACAGCACTTCAAGCTATACACTTAGAAATTCGCCTTCAGAGCAACGGAACAAGAATCGTAAATGCTTTAATATAAACGCTTTAATATGCTGTCGCTCATACTACACATGTAATTTATTAAAATAAAATATTGTTTACGTCTCTTACGTAATAGGTACTTACTACACACGCATGCAAGTACTCACACATACACACAGGCAAGCAGTAGTGCTCTTTGTCAAAGAGTTCGTTCAGGGAAATACAGCCACCTTACCTATTTCTGTCGCCAAGCAGTATTGTCAGCATTACTGTGTTCCGGTTTTGAAGGGTAAGGGTGCTGGTGCAATTACAGCCACATGGGACTTGTCAACTTATGTCTCAGGGGACGGGCGCAGTGGCAGTACCCCTCAGATCTTTTCGATTTAATGCTCTGAGTGGCACTGCAACTGTCATGGACAGGCGTGTAGCTTACCATTAGGCGCACGACTCGTTTGTCCCGTCACTTGATGTTATAAAAAAAGCACGCACACACACACGCTGTTAAATGTACCTGACGACAGTGGTATGCCAAATTTAACATCTTTTACAAAATTACCGCCTTGAGGTAGGTATAAGAGCATTGCCTGAGGCAGAAAAATAAAATAAATCCCAGCAAATCTTGCGAACTATTCACATAAAACATATTCGTATTACGCCCCCATAGGTACTAAGTTGATGAAACTCGGAATGGTGGTGTTGGATTCATCCAACACAAGACACAAAGTACGTGCAAACCTCGAACGCCCCTGTGATTGCACAACTGTTGCGAATTTGTGGCCTAAAATTAAGTTTGAGCGTCTAACCAATGCTAGAAGATGAATTCCAAAGCGTGGTACGACGACGGCGTGAGCATGAGTAACTTCTACTGTACTCGTTCGTTTGTGGCAGCCAGCGGGCCACGTGACTTGTTAGTTAACGTTCGAAGAAACATATGTGTCTGCTGCATTTGAATTTTTATGTGTGGCTGGCGGCTATGTGATCCTTACTCCTAAGAGTGTTAACGAGCATCAAAGTTTACGAAATGTACAAAGTCGCTTTTAAATTCATAATAAGTGATTTATGATAAAAATGGTTAACAGTAGTTATTGGTTAAATATAAATTAAGTTAAGAAATGAAGCAACTTTTTCGGATTTAAATCGCGTATATTTTTTGAAACAAAACCGACGTTTCGGGCCCTTTACAGGTGCGTCAACCGTGACCATAGGACCTGTAAAGGGTCCGAAACGTCGGTTTTGTTTCAAAAAACAAATATACGCGATTTAAATATGGAAAAATAGTTTCACTTCCTAATGTGTGACAATCGCGAAAACCTAAGAACTCGATAAAAATTATGTTGATAAAAAGTAGGATTACGCAAGATTTTTCGGAATTTTCAGTATTTAATCCGGTTATTTCCGTAATTTTATTTGCACAAATGTTTTTGGTAGGTTAGTAAATAAAAAAAAATGTTAGTAAATAATATAGTATTTAATTGTGATGTTTTGAATACGCGGATTTTTAATTTACTTTTCGGAGCTTATTACAATCGAAATACAACACATAATTAACTTATGTAACTAGGAAACAAATTGGATATAGGTACATTAGAAATTAACTAAACTAATTTCCTATATAAGTACCCGTGAACCTTGTATAGAACCAAACATGTAGTAGCTACATTTTACGTGCTTGTTGTATAGCACGTACAAAAATTTGATGGCAAAAGATGGCAGTGTTGGTGTATGAAACACCTTTCATAAAAGTATGAAGTTTAACTCTAATAAATGTTCTGTAAATAAAGCCGATGAATTTGAGCGATAGAGTCGCGTAACAATGTGTCACGGTGTAAAAACTTTATTAAATCCTAATCAATGTCAATTATTCATGATACCGCCTCATCTGATATTAACTTATGATCGAACTTCACGACGTACGGCAGTTTGTCCATTGCTGCTCCATCCAAGCCATTATACAAAAGAAACTATACGAGGCCACATGATGACACGAAGTATGTCAGTACCGGAAACAACATTTTAGAGGATGGAAAAAAATAGTTTCCATAGTCTCAGAACAACATGCATGAAGTGCAACAGTATCGCTCCAGGCCGAGCAAATGCCTGAATGTGTTGCGGTATTGACCACATAAGTCATCGTGAAACTTTTTTTATTTACTTTTTTATTTTATAATACCAAGTGACGGGACGAACAAGTCGTGCGCCTGGTGGTGAGCGAGTGTAGGTATGGTGCAGTGCCACTCAGAGCACTTTAAATCGCAAAGTTCTTAGGGGCACTACCACTGCACCCGTCACCTTAAGATATAACTTGACAAGTCCCATGTGCCTGTAATCCTACCAAACCGGAACGCAGTAATACTTACCTACATTACTGCTTGACGGCAGAAATGGATAAGGTGGTAGTACTTCCCTGGGCGTTCGTAAGGCTCCCTTTTGTCGTACTCTAAAGAACCTATTTTATTATTAGCAATATAGGATTCTAATATTTCCGCGAACTGTTTCGGCAATCTAGACTTAAGCTTGGGAATGAGTCCTTCATGCCAAACTTTATCAAAAGCTTGGGCTACATCCAAGAATATAGTAGAGCAAACTTTTTGTTTTCTAGGGTGTTTTCATTTACGCTGGTGATTCGGTGCACTGGATCTATGGTAGAATGTTGTTCTCTGAAATCAAAGTGATGGTCAGGTACCAGATTGTTTGCTTCGAGTATGGGCTTCAGCATTCTTAAAAAGAGCTTTTCAAATAACTTTGACATTATTCGTAACAAGGTTATAGGCCTGTAGGAAGTTGCTTCGTGTAGAGGCTTTCCGGCTTAGGAATCATAATTACCTCAGCCACTTTCCATAACTCCGGCACTAATCTCAGCCTAAAAGAAGCATTGATAAGAGTTGTTAATTTTGCGATAGCTTTTCGAGGAAGATTTCTCAGAATTTCTCCCGTTATAAGAGCGTACCCAGGAGACTTTTTGGGTTTATCCTCATTTTAATTTCCCTTTGAACCTCTCTTGGGGTAACATGTTTAATCACCAGGTCTTCTTGTAGCTCTTCAATGTCAGGCAATCCTCCTGCCGTCCCTTCATTGGGTTGAAAAATGTTCTCTAGGTGTTCTGCGAACCTTTTGGCTTTTTGTAATTTAGTTTTTGTCCAATCCCCGTTGCTATCCCGTATTGGCGGGATATGCACGATGGGTTTATTCTGATTTTTACTAGCTTTCCATAGTGAGTAATTAGTAGTACTATTATTAGTCAGTTGCTTTAGTGCTGCTCTGGTGCTTTCCTCCTTGTACTTCGTAATTTTCTTTGTTAACATTGTGGTTACGTTATTCAGTAAAGTTTTGTCATCCGGTGATCTAGTTATATGCCACCGTTTTCTCTGTTTCCTTTTATGAGCTAGCAGATCTATTATTTCTTTTGGATATGTTTTTCGCTGTGGTTTTAGTAGAACGTAAGGTGTGTTTTTTGTAGCAGCTTCTTGTATATTGATTATAAACTTCTTTAAGTCATGTTCAATGTTACTTGGCGTTTTCAAAGCGAGTTTTAAGTCTACGAGACTGTTAAGATCACATTTAAAGCTTTCCCAGTCCGTGTGACGTGTGAAGCTTCTATGAACGTGTTTCGATGATGTGTTTAGTTAAATGCAGAATTACGGGTGAATGATCAGTTGGCATATTTAGACTTTACTCTGGCGACTATACATCCTCTATAGTTTGCTGGGTGTAGTTCTCCACAATGTACACTTTTGGGTTTTTCACTTGACGGCTTCTTACAATCTTTAGTACAGTATTTTTGTGTGTGACCATACGCTTGACACCGATTACATTGTGGTACAAGCTTCGAGGTTTTTAATGGATGTATATCGTATCCACTTTGTTTCTTTAGCTAGCTCTTCTTCATCCGTGCAGTATTCTACAACTTGGACTTCAGAACTCTGGTTAGTTTCCATAACACTGGTTCCATGATTAGTTTCATGGTTTCGCTGTACCAAGACATTTCCCAATTCATCTCGAAGAGAATTAATTTGCTTTTACATGTCCTCAGCTAAGCGTTGCAGTCGGATATTTTCAGCTTTCTCTTCAATGTAGCGTTGATACAACATATGTTCCGTGTCCGTCTTCAGCTTGATAGTTGGTGAGGGGCTATTATTCGTCATGATTACGAGAGTAGCTTCGCCTTAACAAATAAAAATTATGCTGAGCCGGATTTTGCACAATATGTGTAACTGGGTCATCGCGACGACCGTCCGCGTCTCGGCCGATGTGCGACGACACGCAGTATCAGCACTTTACGCACTAGAATACGAATGTTTTCAGTGGAAACTGAACGATAAATGATGATGATCTTTTAAATATAGGTACAGGTGGAATTACATTTGGCCATTTTCCTGACCTGAAAACAACCATTTTAGCTTTTTCGAACTATAGGAATTAACTTCACAATACCTTTGATCGACGAACTGAGCAGTACTAGGTATGTCATCTGCACAACTCAATCTGTTAACAAGTCTGTCAAATCTCAGCCCTACACTGGCACTGCTTAGCTCCTAAATGAAATCATTATAATATGTACGTTAAATAGCTCAGGAGAGGTCAGGATACCCTGGAATTAAACTGTCAAACAAGACACGTCCCACCTAATATTGTCTTCCTGTTGACTATACTAATAAGCCAACAGATCAACAAGATCATTAAGTACACCTTGTCTAGACAGTTTGATGACAAGATCGTAGTGCACTACTTGCTTAACAGAAAAGAAGTCGCTTATTTTTAAGAACGATGTCATCAAAAAATGAGCCTCTCAAGTACCTTAATTGCTTAGTAATATATAAAACATCAGCAACAATTTAAATAAAAGCCAAAAGTTCTAGTCTGTTTAATTTATTGTAAATAAAAACTTCGACATTGTACATTACCATTTTGCATTAAAATATAACGTGAAGTGCAATTTGGTAAGTATTTTCTCATCAGTGTGTAGTAACTGTATATTTCTTTCAAAATCTAAAAATGAAAATAAAACTTATATAAATAATACCTACTGTGCTTCTAAAATAAAACTTCGACATTGTACATTACCATTTTGCGCTAAAATATAACGTGAAGTGCAATTTAGTAAGTATTTTGTCATCAGTGTGTAGTAACTGTATATTTCTTTCAAAATCTAAAAATGAAAATAAAACTTATATAAATAATACCTACTCTGCTTCTAAAATGACATTATCAATATACCAGAGCACCAGTAAGTGTGGTGCAGATGAATAGAAAGAACTACATTAATTTATAGTGCAAGTGTTTGTAGTTTGAGTATTCAAGTGAATACTTAAACTTTTTATAAATTTGACTCATATAGTAAATATGTCAAACTACTGGTTTGTTATACTACTAAACGATATGAATAACAATAAATTGTTTTCCACAATAGTGGCTAAATGTGACAAGCTACTGATTTAATACTACTGAATAAAATGTAATTTTCTTATTTTCTCAACAGCGTGTAGTAGCTGTATGCTCCTTTCAAAATCTGAAAAATTAAAAAATAAGATTTTTAAAAACAATACTCAACTTCTAAAATGACATTGCCAGTGTACTAACAGAGTTTGAGTGAACGGCTAGAACTACATTGCACTACAGTAAAATAATAATATATAGACAAGTGTTTTTAGTTTCAGAGTCGATACTACCTCAGCCCCGAATTCTAATTTTTTCCACACTAATACGGTTCATTTTGCTTAGGTCAAGCGGCGGGGACACTGGTTAAATCGAAAGAATATAAAAAACTTTCCTCGTCTAAACATTCACGATTATCGTCCTTCCACGTGAGCGATAATCGCCTCGCTTTTCAATATTGAACGTCTCCGTGTAAACAGAACTTGAAAGCAAAAATCGTATTTCGAGTTTTTGTGCCAGCCGTTTCTACCATGAGTACAGTGCGCGAGGGTGTTTTGTTTATCACTGCTTTTATAAGACAAGAATTAAGGAAAGGAAAAGGAAAAAAGGTTCAAAAATGTTACAAAATTAAAAATAAAATAAAATAAATATATATTTCTATACAGTGCAATGAACTTAATATTATCAGCAGTTTCAAATTTGAATAGTTTTTGCATCATTTTGATATATCCATAGTCATACCGCAGTGATCACTGAACTCGAATGGCAATTCTCGCACTCAAAACGGTTCGAACCGATTTGTACGATAATCGTATGAACTTGAAAAAATGTCATACGAGATGGTGTTTAGGCAAGTCGAAAACTCGTAAGCAAGAATCTCCTTACTACATATTTCTCTGTGTAAACAGTCGAAGAGGCGATTAAGTTGCTAGCGAATCTTGTATGACATAATCGTAGGCGAGATTTTAGTTCTTGCCTGAATGTAAACATTATGATACGATAATCTTATGGCGATTATTGCTTACGATAATCGCGTACGATTTTTCGTCACGAAGCGTGCGATAAACTCTCTCCATCTAAATGGGCCTTTATTTCAGAATTTATTTTTTACGAAACGAAATTAAGGCCTGTTTGTTCCTAAATGTTCTGTTTAGTTCAGCTGATATAAAAACAATACTAGTATATGTAAAGCACATATAGAATACAGCGATTTTCTTGTAAAATTTCGAGGTAAGTTTGTGTTTTTTTTGAATTTTTAGGAATCGTGTTTTTACACCGCATAGTAATCACTGTATATCCTCTATTTTACTGTATATTTTTCCAGAGTGATTGATTCAACACTTTCACTGTTATCCGGAATCAACCGAAGCCATTTAAGGCAGTATAGACTCTCAAGTATTATTGTTTACCGTAATAAACGTGTACAGGGTGAGAGAAGTAAACGGTCCAGCGGTGAAAACATGTTTGATCCGAAATTGTCCAGCCAACATTAGAATACTTTTCCTTTGTTTGGCATTAGCGACCCACCATTCACTTTCGTAAAGCCCGTACATTAATTGTTCGCTCTGTGAAAGTAAGAAAAGTTGCAAGAAACTAGTAAATAAATTATTGACAACGAAGGCAAACATCTGTAAAATAATTTTTACATACTTTGATTTGAACATCGTTACTTTGCCAACAATACATAAAAAGTTGCGCGATTCCGAATAGTAAAAACACTGCCAAAAACAGTTTTTGGGTTGCTGTTGTTGCTGACTGGAAACAATACAATAATTATTATGTCCCTAACATTTAATTAGATAGCGATAAGAATAACTAAAAAAAAAGTTTTATATGGTATTTTGTGCAAGACAGGTTTTTTTTTATAAATCCAAGGACGGAATGAACAAGTCGTGCGCCAGGTGGTAAGCAACACGCGTATTCATAGGGGCACTTGCTCTGTGCCCGTCACCCTGGGACATAAGTTGACAAGTCCCGTGTGCCTGTAATTTCACCAGCACCCTTACCATTCAAAACTGGAAGACAGCAATGCTCACATTACAGCTCGGCGGCTGAAATAGGTAAGGTTGGACGAACTCTTTCACTGCTACTAAAATCTATTTTTCAACCAAGCAAGTGCTCAAACCATTACTTAATACACACTTTAATGTGTATTCAAGTTTATAATGACGCATCATCTAATCTAGAGCTTAGAAGAGACGTGAATTGGTGCTTGATTGCAAATTATATATTAAGAAAACCCGCGAAGTAAACTTACAGCTAGCAGAAACACGACGGCACAAAGATTCAATGAGCACAAGGCGACGTATAGAAACATTATAGGCGATAGCAGAGAATTGAATAATCTTGACTGCCTGTAACAACGACATACAAATTAAAGGCTACACGACAAGGCAGATTATAAACAAATATTTTTAAAAAACTCATGTGTGTTACTCATTCTTAAAAGTCACTCTCGTCTTTTTCTCGTCGTCTCGTATTTTTTAATGACTACAATACTAACATTTTTTTCATAATATCAAGTGACCTGATGATAAGCTACACGCCTGTCCATAACAGTTGCAGTGCCACTCAGAAATCAAAGATCTGTATGACTAATAAAAATAAAAACATATTTGTAAATGAACAGAAAGGATTGCGGAGAGGAAAATCCGTAAATGTAGTGATTTTTGAGTTTTTGAGTTTAATCGTAATCAATAATGTAAATTTATAAATTCAAAATATTTATTAGTAGATTATGTAGAGAATAAGTAATTCCGATACTAATGTCAAATATAACATTAGCCAAGAAAATGTACCTATTTAGTTCGTATGCCTTAAGGCGCACTGTAGACAATCATTATAACACCATGTAATTCATGTACCTCTGTAACTGTATGTTGACCAATAAAAAAGAACTTGAAATGTACTAATGAGTACATTAGTAGCCTAATTATTGTTTTTGTTGGATCTTCGGTTGTGAATAAAATCATAGGGGCGGTGCTGTAGAATTTAAAATATAAGAATACAATTTTTATTAGCACCTTGGACTTAAATCGATGAAAAATTATAATGTAGCTTCATTAATAAGATACTAACATTGTATAATTTTCTGTATTCTTCGGCACTTAATAAAGTGTGAAATGAAGATACATAATTTCGTTAATTGTAAGTTAGGATGTTTATACAATTTGTAAGAAAGCTTTAGAAAATAGAAATTAGATTAACTGAAGAGCACATGCCCTTAAATAATTATATTAGAATTAATAAATGTATTCTTCTTCTTCTTAAGGTGCCTCTCTAACCAGTGAAGTCAGCTCTGCATATTTATCTTTATCTGGCGAGGCTAAACAACTGGACGGCACTCGCTATCCCAGTTCAATTTTGTGTGTTCCTCAACCACGATTTTTCACGACCAGCTTTCCTTTTACCAGCGAGTTTTCCCATCATTATCAGTTGCAGAAGCTCGTATCTGTCATGCCTAAGTACATAACCCAGATATGCACCTTTTCGCTGTTTGATGGTCTGCAAAAGTTTACGCTTCTGTCCTCCTAGTAGCAGAACTTCGTCATTGGTGACTTTCTGAGTCCATAATAAGTGCAACATTCTTCTGTAGGCCCGCATTTTAAATGCTTCAATACGTTTCCTGAGATGCTCTTTTATTGCCCAGGCCTCACATCCGTATAGAAGTATTGGCCAGATTTAACACTGAAGAAGTCGAATGCGCAAAGGAATCTTAAGACGACGGCAGCATAATACTTTCCTCATAGTATTGAACGCACTCCTGGCAACTTCAATGCGGGTTTTAATTTCAGTTTCACTGTCCCAGTCTTCAGTTAGCCAAGTGCCGAGATATTTGTATTTGCAGAGCTGCTCAAGTTCTTGTCCTGCGACTGATATAAGTACTGGGCTAGAGATAACCATGAATTTAGTTTTCTTGACATCATTCTAAGATCGGCCTTCGCACTGCACTCGTTCACTCTGTCGACGATGATTTGAAGTTTCGCTTCTGGATGCTATGAGAGCAGTGACATCAGCGTACCTCAGGTTATTAATAAGTCATCCATTAACCTTAACCCCGCAGCCCAGATCTTTTAGTGCTTCCGTCATGATCGCCTAAGTAACAAAAAAATAAGTGTACGAAATATGTGCAGTCTGTTAAAACTGTACGCGATTTGACAGCTCGAGGGTTTTTAGCTGCTTACAAACGCTTTTGTAGATGCGGTCACTATGCAAATATCTGGAGCGAGAACGGCACCAACTTCATGGGCGCTGCTCACGAGATGAAAGTGTTATTTACCAAGGAAACCTCAAAGAGTAGCAGAGGAACAATTTGCATCCAGCGGCACTTGTTGGAAAATTCCATCCCCTCGCATTTATCGAATTTCGGCGGGGATAAAATGTACGAAATATCATCTAAAATAAGTTGTAGGTGACACGATATTGACGTTTGAAGAAATGACTAAGGTGTTACCCCAAATTGCGACTTAACGTAATTGTAGGTTACTCTTTCAAATCACAGAAAACACAGAAGACCCGACCCTTTTAACCCCTTTAGTCTTATGTATAAAGTTAAAACGCTGTTGTACAGAAGAGTTGGTTGTAAAGAAGAAGTTAAAATGCTGTGTAGAAATTTGAACCTTCTTTCATTCGTTCTGTAGCTTGTACATACCTATTAGACATGAGTCGAGAATAATTCGGTCCTTTATCTTAAGCTCTGGTAGCCTAATGGTTTGACCTACCGCCTCTTAAGCAGAGGCCGTGGTTTCGAATCCAGGGCTGCATTTCTGACTTTCCCTTGACCCAGACCTTGGGCCAGAGTGGCGGACTATGGGCTAAACCCGCGCCTGAGAGGCGACCCGTGCCCAGCCGACCGACTTTTTTGTAATATCTAGTGACGGGACGAACAAGCCGTGCATCTGATGGTAAGCTACACGCCGGTCCATAACAGTTGCAGTGTCACTCAGAGCTTTAAATAGCAAAGATCTGACGGGCACTGGCACTGCGCCCGTCACCCCGAGACATTAGTTGACAAGTCCCATGTGCCTGTAATTTCACCAGCGCCATTACCCTTATATGACGTAAAATAAAAATCAAAATAATCTTTATTTCATAGGGTAAGCATTATTATACTTGAAATCTTCACATTGGTTAAACTCTACCTACCGCTCATTCGTAAGGTAGATTTCCCTGAGAAGAATGAGCAAGAAACTTTAGGGGTTGCTCTTTGTAAATAACATTTGTACGTATTGAACATTTACAATATATTTTTAGTTTTGCTTTCAAACACCAGAGATCGAGAGTACCTCCATGAGCTAAACGGGTTACTACCACGGATTTTTGTCGTCCAAGTACGCAGAAAAGTTTTTGTTTCACTATAGGTTTAAACCTCGTGAATAGCAAGTTTTGTATATCAATCGGAATCTTGTTATAGAAGCGTATACATTGTCCCTTAAATGAATTTGTCACTTTGTGAAGACGACTATCAAGAACAGCTAGTTTATTTTTATTCTCGTATTAATATTATGTCTGTCACTATTTAAAGAGATTACTATTCTTCTTAACATAAATTACATTTTCATAGATGTACTGTGACGCTAGCGTAAGACTGTTAATTTCCTTAAACTTATCTCTCAAAGATACTCTGGGGCCCAGATTGTAAATTGCCCTAACCGCACGTTTCTGCAGGACAAAGATTCTATTGATATCGGCGGCATTACCCTAAAGCAAAATGCCGTATGTCATTAGACTGTGAAAGCAGCTGAAGTAAACCAATATAGCGGTTTCGACGTCTGAAAGTTTCAGTATTTTTTTAATCACGTATACTGCAGAGCTGAGCAGTTTGGATAACTTACTTATATCTGGACCCCATTGGAATTTAGCATCTAACGTTATACCTAGAAATACAACCGCATCCACAAGATTCAATTATTCGTTTCTAACTACAATGTTTGTGACCGTCTCTCTAACATTGGGTAATGTAAATGTCACTCAATCTGTTATTTTTCTCATTAAGAAGCAGGTTATTAACAGCAAACCAATCAACTAATTTAGATATAGTATTGTTCACATCGTCGTAGGAACATTGGTGCCTTTTAACTTCAAATAATAATGAAGTATCATCAGCAAACAATACTATCTCATGTTTTAAACTAATAATAAATAATAATTAATATAAACTAAAAACTAAAATGTACCTAGAATTGAACCTTGAGGGACACCCATGCTTATTGCAGACCCTGATGATCTCGTACCGTTAACATTGACCCTCTGGGCCCTACCATTCGAATACGATTTAAGAAGGTCGAGGTCACGTCCAGCCACACCATAATGGCGAAGTTTCCTGACCAGAGTATCATAGTGCATACAATCAAAAGCTTTGGACAGGTCACTGAATACACCAGTAGCGTCATGTGAGTCTTTCCATGCATCAAATATATGTTTCATCAACTCATCACCAGCATCGGTTGTGGAGCGACTCCGAGTGAAACCAAATTGTTTAGGAGACATTAAGTTATTATTATAAAAATGTGCACACATCTGATTTAGAATAACTTTTTCAAAAATTTTACTGAGTGTTGGTAGTATTGGAATAGGCCTGAAATTGGTGGTGTCTGACATACTACCAGATTTGAAAAGTGGAATAACTTTACTTTGCTTCATGAGGTCAGGAAACACACCATCATCAACACATTTATTAAAGTCACAGGCTAAGTAAGGCGCAATACAGTCAACTATAGAACTAATTACTCTGACTGAAAGACCATCAAGGTCAGCAGTATGTTTTATGTCTATAGACTTAAAGACTTTAACAATATCATTTGGAAATACATGAGGGAACCTTAAATTAGTAATACTAATGGTCCCAACCGTCAGTCAACCGTGATCATGGGGACCTGTAAAGGGCACGAAACGTCGGTTTGTTTGAAAAAACAAGTATACGCGATTTAAATCCGGAAAAATAGTTTCATTTCCTATGTGTAACAATCGCGAAAACCTACAAACTCGATATACCTATCTATAGTCAAATGAAAATATTTACTAATAAAATTATTAGTATCCATAAAATGAAATTTACTATAATAAAACGTCAAGCTGTGTAATGTTCTATTTAAGTTATGCCTAATATTATTTTCACTTGTTGTGAGGGTATTGCTGAAGGGAAAAGCGAACAAAACAATTTATTTTATATTAATTAAATTATTTACGTATAAACGTATGAATGGGTTGAAGGTTATTATCTTAAGCGAGTTACTCGTCGTTCACGTTGTTCAATAAAAGCAGGAATTCAACTTACTACAAAATAGCATTACGGAACAACTACTGTATTGATGATTGACGTGATTGATAGATCCGATCGTGATTATACTTGAGTTTCATTGATTCCATCGCGACACGCTATTTGGGATCGAGAGAAGTCAAACAAACGAATGTTAAATAAAAAGACGACAAACTGGGGCGTTAGTTTTGCGAGGGTGAACCAAAAAGTTCGAATACTTTAGAAGCTCACTACCTGGGTCATAACGCAAAATGATATGACGATGGCTTGGAAGCTGGAGTAAAGGATCGCATGCTGCCGCTGCATGGTAGTGGCTCTGATCTATGAAACAAATCTTGTCCTCTGCTATGAAGCTTTAACCACGTGGTGGATGACCAGGGATAGATTATTATGTATTATTATGATATATTATTAATAATAATATAACTTTGTGACCTTAATTCAGAAAATACTATTCTGTTCAGTGACTTCGCAGTTAAGGATAAAATAAATAAATTAAAGTTCAATAACGCAAAATAGTGGACAATCAGGTTGATGATAACGATGGATGTTTTTGTTACACTTAATTGTTTATTGCCTAAATTTTAGGTCGAATAACTTAATTTAACAATACAATACAATAAAATACAAATATTCTTTATTGCAAATACATAATAATACAAAAAATAATAATAAAAAATGACAGTTTAAAGAGGCGGCCTTGTTGCTAAATAGCAATCTCTTCCACGCAACCTTCGGGTACAGGAAAAAGTGAAAAATAAAATTAATTGAGGGCGCAAAAGAATACCTAATTCATTCACAAATTGCACATACACAAATAAAAAAGAAAGAAAAATAAACATAAAAATATTACATTTTAACATTATTTCGTTTGGTTTTTGGTTTTTGAATATATCGTTTATACTTGAGTCGAGATTCTTCTAAGTATATTATTGGTAATTATTTTTCTTCAGTAATATGGATACTTAAAATCTGATCAACCCGTTTTATTTTGATAATGGTTATTACTAGTCACGAAACAACTTTTCTATATAGTGAGAACTGAGCAATGGAGTTTTGTAATTTGCTTACCTATGAAATTAAGATTATTTCACTTTAACTTTGAGTCTCTTGTAGCTTTAAGTTAGTAATTTACAAAACCTTTTACTTACTTCAGTAGCAGGATATGCTCATGGTATAACTGCCGTATCGATTTATCAATCTCGTCGTCGCTGATTCTATTTCCTGAAGTACCCAGCGCCAGTTTGGATCGTGCTTTCAACAGGTCCAGTTTTCCTCCAAAGAAACTCATAATCACAATCATACATGTATCATAAGCTGACATGAGCGAACAACCATATGAACACATAGAAGCGTGCCAAATAACTGTTATCCAGCAACCAGGGGAATGATTTTTGTCAATGGGCATCCACGAAATATAGATGTGAGGAAATGGTTCAGAGCCATTGCGAAAACCTTCTCGGTAGTCTTGTGACGATAAAAATTTCAGTAGAGGCGAAGAAATTACTGTTAGGAACGTTACGAATAATAAACCCCAGAAGAAATAAGTAACTCGTCGGCAATGTTTTGTGTATTTGTCAATAATCTCGCCTCTAATTTTGTCCTGGTGTTCTCTCTCGTATTCGTCTGACTCAGTAACGTAGTCCAGAACTTGTTTCCATCTCTTCTGCGTAAATATGATGGCGTTTGATTTTGTCACGCAGATAATACTCAGAAACGATATCTTGACATTTTCAACAACTTGATCTAAGTCAGATCTTACCAAATAAATCGCCATGTATTGCGTAATCACGAAAAATGTTACTAATTCGTGTATAAAAATATAAACTATTTTCAAAAAAATATTGTTCGGAAGTATTAATCCTATCCACTTCATAAACCAGATGTTGGGTCCGAGAAGACGTTGTTTGGGATCTTCCAGACTTTGCAGAAATTTTGTTATCATTACGATTGGTTGTCTTGCGAGCAAAATGAAAATGAATTAATTTTTTTTACTCTCGTATAAGTAATTTCCTCAGCCTTCCTTCATAAAATTACAATTCCAGTCAGACGTCGCAAAGCTTCTATATTATCATACCATAGAAATGAAATTAGATGAGTATTAGAAAATTGGTATACATAAGTTTGAATATTCACAATGTGTAAATGTATTTCACAGTGAACAACATTCATACCAACTGCCGCGGCTTTTCCGTTACAATCGTTTTTAAAGTACACTCACCCCGCCTCCAAAACACAAGTGCGTGGTCGTTTTAATCACGCACTTGTCGATCTCATTATCAAAACCTTAGTCAATAATGTAACTATTATTGAAAAATCGATAAAATACGTTCAGTTTTTTACCAACATAGTTATAGTTAAAAAACCTTCCTTTCGTCCATCTTGATGCGTATAATTGCCCTTTTACAGGCCCTCTTATTGGCTCTCTTACGTTCAATAATTAATAATTCAATTAGAAGTAAACAAAAATGTTAGTTATATTTACAACCTAAGTTAGTTACACACAGATACGGTTAAGGGCCGAAACACAAAAGTGCGATGCGACGTCGCATCGCAGAAATCTACGAGCTCGCACGATGCATCGCAAGAATTTGCGAATTGCTCCGCATCGCGCATTCCCGCGATGTTAATCTTCTTTGTGTTTTTTTCCTATACTTTCTTGTCAATAATAGCAGTACAACAATCTTTTTACGATCCATGTCGCTACCTAGTTTAAAAAATACGTTCAGTACGGTTGATGATCCTCGAAGGAAGGGTTACCCGAACCGTGGCAGTAAGATGCCTTGCCGCACGAAATCGCATCGCAGTTTTGTGTTTCGACCTACGACCTAACGACAATAAAGTTAAAATTATTTCTTAATAACTTAATCTAAATACAAGTAAAATGTAAAGGAAGCCATAAAATAAAACATAAAAAAGGAATATTTATTACTAGGAAGTACTGCCACCCTACCTATTTCTGACACCAGGTAATAATGTGAATATTACTATGTGCCAGTTTTGAAGGTTAGGGGTGCTGATGAAATTAAATTACTTATGTCTCTGGGTGGCGGGCGCAGAGGCAGTGATCCTCAAATCTTTACGATTTAAAGCTCTGAGTGGGACTAGTACTACTATTATGGACAGGCTTGTCGCTTACCCGCGCACGACATAGTTGCGGCGCACGACCTAGTTGTCCCGTTACAGGGCGTCGTAAAAAAACTATATTATAATTGTCATAAAGCTATATAATTGAATCATGGAATCACATAGACATCTTGATTGTGCATAGTGGTACGTGGGCTCTGTGTCCTGGCAAAACTCGCGGAGTGTCCTTACTGCTGGTATTTGTAAGTAAGCAAGAGCGTAGTGTCTTACGGCCCAAAAGGTCCAATTATTAAATATATGCGGCCGTTCTATGAGTGTCCTCTAAGTGAGTGCTGTGATTTCTAAAATATATTTACTGGTGGGCTCGTTCTTGTTGCTTGATCTGTGGCTAAATTTGTTTGTACTTTTGGTGGTGTTTTTTAGGCTGGGATGTTTTTTAAGATAAATTTTGTTCATGGAGTACCTAGTCCAATAACTACACTCGTTCTCTGCGATGACTGGTTGAAGTCTGTCGAAACCGTCTGCATTCAGATCGTCTAGCAGCAGTTACAGCAGCAGACAATAGCAGCTGCTATTGTCTTAAAATACTGCCAGTTGATTTGTAATCAAAATACTAAATCGCATTAAATAGGTGACACAAGTATAATTTTAAAAATTAATTCAAGATACCAGTTTCCTATGAAAACTGTGTTTGTGGCAATAAGTTCGTACAACTGTAAGGCTTTCAATTGGGTGCGGTTCGTAATATACAACAACAAATGACATATGTTTAGTCGATATAACGTTCAACAGATATAATTAATTTATGGTATACAGACATTGGACATATTCTTGCATGATATAAAGGTCACTGGGTATAATAGACGACTGATATAACAAGTTTCAATCTAATATACCAATGGCATAATGTTCATTTTATGTGAACATTTCAGATATAACATACACCGAGTAATCCCAGTGGTGTTTAGGTACAATGGTGAATGAACCGAATTTGTTTGCACTTGCTAATTAGTTCGATCTCCTCCTGTGGGTTTAGGTTAGATTAGTAAATGACAAAGCTGTAGGAGCCGAGCGAGTACACCGAGGGTGTCGCGGCAGCGGCCGGAGAGTGCCAGAGCCAGAACCTAATTTGTTTGCAGTTGCTAGTTGGTTCGACCTCCTGTGAGTTTAGGTTAGGTTAGTATGTGACAAAGCTACACGAGTCGACCGAGCGTAACGAGCGTGCCGCGGCAGCAGCCGGTGAGTACCAGAGCCGAATTTGTTTGCATTTGCTAGTTGAGCCTATCTCCTGTGGGTTTA